GCTTCAAGCCCCAGCTTTTCTCCCCCCCCACCTCATCTTGCCTGCGGGAGCCTACCCACACAGCTACCCTCCCATGCACTCTGTTCTGTTCTGGGGGTGGGAATCCCCAGGCATTTTCTCCTCCCCCCCCATTGTCCTGCTAGAAGGGTGGATGATGCCCCCCACACACTCCATTTGGCCCCAGGGGTTGTGAACCCCCAGCCTCCTCCACTCACGCTGCCCTCCCCCCGGGCGCACAAACTCCTAGCCATGCTCACTCTGACCTCCCCCCCCCGGGTGTGAATCACCAAGTCTAGTCTGCCCAAAGCTAACGGCTTTCATGTAGAAGTAGGATGAGGGAAGGGGGGGGGGGGAGCCACTGAAGAACCACCCTGATCAGTGCTGGCAGGGGGCCTTCGGTGCAGGTGTGGCATCTGAAATGAATTTGAATTCATTCATTTGGAATCATTAGATTTCACGTTGTCTGTACTGCTTTAATATTAATCCCAGATCACTGGTCTTGTTGTGCTTACTGACAACACCATCTCATAGTATTGCTGAAGGCAGGTGTGTCTGCATTGCATGAAGCTCTAGTCAGTGACCAATCTTAGACATGGTGCTAAGAGATTGGAATGATTGGAAACGAAGCAAACTCTTTTAAACTCCAGATTCTCAGAGAAGTCCCCTGGCTGTATCGAAATGATTGGACCAAGAAGGCAGTGGGATCTTTTGGTGTTTGGATGATCATCCCATCCTTTTGCCTTGTTTTTCAGAAACGCTCTGTTACACAGATGACACAGCCATGGCGAGGTGTGTGGCGCGGTCCCTCTTAGCCAAGGGAGAGTTTGATGAAGTTGATATGGCCAGGAGGTAAGGAGCTGCAGTCATCAGAGCAGGGAGATTTCTTGCTTTTCACAAGTGGCAAGGAGTGAAAGCTAACTAGCCACTTGGCGCTGTGCCTCTTGAGTCCAGGAAAGTGTAGGGGACTCTCCTAAATCCTGTCTGAAGTAGCCATGTAATTACTTGGAGAGTGGCCCCAATGCTGCAGTTTGGTTTGTCCTCTCTGAGATTCTCATTGACTTTAGTGTCATTTGAGTGGCCTCTCAAATCTGAGGTTGAAACTAAAGAGGGGGGCACTGTCAAAGGAACACTTGCATTTTTAGCAAACAAGATTGTCTACTTTTTTTGTTAAAAACACTTCACAATTATTCCCTGTTAGTTTACTTATTGCTTGGTAAGCGGTTTCCTTTTTTATGCTTCCCTTAGCTTTGGGCAATAAAAATCCACAAAGTCAGTTTGTTTTATAGTCAGTTTCCCTTTCAGATCCTTAGTGCTGAATCGTTTGGGTTTCAAAGCACTGAGGTGCAAAGGTTTAATTGTTTGAAAACTGTCTCCTGTGGATTTGAACAAACAATATTTCTGCTGAGCAGTGGCCAATAACCAATAAAATGTTTCCAATGATCTTTTAAGTACATCTTAAAACAATCCAAAAGTTGAGAACTTAAACCACAAACTGATAAAGTCAGTGCAACCATCTGGTCCAATCTCTGTTCCCTTCCTCCACCCCATCCTTTGATACAAATAATAATAATTTTTTATAGACACTTTCAAAAAAGTGTTTAGGATCAGATCACATGTTAATTGAAACTGCCCCTTTGCATTGTGGTTTTACTAATTCCTGTGTAACTGCTGCTGTTTTGCCTTTGGCAGATTTGCAGAGGAACATAAGAAGGACCCAGATCGGGGCTACGGGATGGCAGTTGTCAAAGTGTTCAAGAAACTTCTGAGCCCCAAATGCAGTGATGTCTTTGAGCCTGCCCGAGAGCAGTTCAATGGGAAAGGCTCCTACGGGAACGGTGGTGCCATGAGGGTAGCAGGCATTTCACTGATTTACCCTGATGTTCAGGATGTGAAAAAGGTAGAGAGCAGTTCAATGGGAAAGGCTCCTATGGGAACGGTGGCGCCATGAGGGTAGCAAGCATTTCACTGATTTACCCTGACGTTCAGGATGTGAAGAAGGTGCATTGCATGGGGTTTGCTCAGGCACCGGGACTTTCCGATCTCTGTTGACAGGGTGGGGTTTGGTGACTCTTTCATTTGGGTTTCCTAATGGTATTTTTGTTCAATCTGCAGTTTGCAAAGCTCAGTGCTGAGCTGACCCATGCCAACTCGCTGGGCTACAACGGAGCCATCCTGCAGGCTCTGGCAGTGCACCTCGCCCTGCAGGGAGAGCTCAATGGGGAGACCTTCCTGGAGCAGCTGATCGGCCACATGGAAGATGTGGAGGCAGATGATAAATCTTTGGCTGATGCCCGAGCGTAAGTAGGGCTCAGAAAGTCAGCTCCTCTCCTCATTGCATTGTGACTTCCATATGGAGTTGGGTTTAGTTCACAGTAGGGATGTAATAGTGTAGTCGATTAACTGATTAAACAAGACTGCACGCATTCTTCCCTCCTTTCCCTCCTCACCTCTAAATATTTTAGCAGACTGGCCAGCAGACTGGCTCACTCTGGGTCCAGGACTACCCCCACTGTGGCTTTGCATTTAAAGTGTATTAGGAGCTGAGCGAGCAGGCAGCCCTGCTCAGTTCCAGCTCACACTGGGTCTGGGAGCTGAGAGCCACCCTCCAGACAAGGGCTGCTGCCACCCTGCACTGCTGCCTGTTATCAGAGGGAGCAGCACAGGGCAACAGGCAGCTGGTCTGCAAGAGGAGCTGTTTTTTAAACTCCTCTGATACAGAAGCAGCAGCGTGGGGTGGCAAGGGGCTCCTCAGGACTGGAGCAGTGCCCCCAGTGACTATAGAATAGTTGACTAACTGATAAGAATTCATGAGATTACATGACTATTCAATTAACTGATATTTAACATCCCTAGTTCACAGCAGTGTCTTTCTCTGGACTCCGTACAGCTGTCTACCTAAGTCCTCATAGATTTTGTTCTGTGCTCTCACAATGCTACTCCAGACACAGGCAATGAGATATTCCTTCAAGTTGTTAGACTGTGTGTTGATTTTTAGCTGCAGGGCTTTTATGGCTCAGGGCCGTTCCTGTGATGGGGGGTTGCATTGTTCCAGAAGCAGCTGAAAGTGCCTTTCTTGTTGCACACTCAGCTACCATGAGCATATCTCCCAGTCTGTCCTGGTATGAATGTCCTTGGGCCAGGAATTCTTCCAGGTCCCGTTCCCTCTGCCTCTCCTCTCAGTCCACGTCAGTCCCTTTATGGAGTGGAAGAGTGTGTGTGTGTGGTTCATAAGAGCTGTCTGACCAGTTGGGAGATTGCGCTGCTGGCTGCGTGCTGCTCAGTCTAGCTTCTCCCTGTTCTGTAATTTGTTTGAAAAACTTTGGTTCTTCCTCTCTATATCTGACCTTTCTGAGAGGGGTGACTTGCTGCAGACAGGTAAGATGGGTCCTTTCCTCCTCGTCCTCTGGGCAAGCCTCATTTATTCATTTCAGTTGGATGTGCTCTCAGAATAGCTTTGCTTTGAGGTTTTTGCTCGTTCTCCCCATGTGCACAGGCAGTCTCAATAGACAAGACCATGATTCAAACACCTGGAAATGTGGGAAGATTCCGCCTCATATTCATAGCCCTTAAAGGGTCCTTTTCCTGCTCTGTTGGGACACCTCTTCATAGGCTGGGTTGTATGAGCTCCATTCGTGCACATTGCTCCTTGGTGGCAGGAAGGGAGAAGTCACTGGAGTGGGGCATTTGTTACATTCCTGTGTCTTATCTCCAGGATGGGGTTACAGGAATTGCCGTTTTCAAGGCGTCTTAAGAAGATAAAGGAATTTTTGGAGCTTAGCACCGTTCCAAAGTCCGACGTATTGTTTGAGTTAGGTAAGCACCTTTCTTCCTACAGGTATTCAGGGAGAGCCCTGGGGCAGGGCTAGCTAAGGGTCTGGTGGTTAGTGCTTTCTTTCCTGGATTCTGCCTCTTGCTTCCAAGGCCACCGTGGGTTGGATGTGTTGCAATCCCTGTGGGAAGAGTATGTGTGAGAACCCCTCTGCAGTGATTCCCTCGTTTAGGGCAGCCATGGTGGATGACCGGCTGTCTCGCTGAGAGAAATACTTTGAATAATAATTCCTAATTTTCTAAGATCTCATCTTAATGACCTGGGAACGCAGGGATGTTACAGGCTGGGACTGTGCATAGACATGTTCCCCTACCTGGGACAGTAGTGGTGTGCTGATCAAGAGATCAGCAGAGAGCATGGGATGGAAAGAAACATCTACCCACACTTCACCTGGCTTGAACCAGCCATACTAAAGTTTGAAATTGGTAATAAGACAAGCTCATGAACTAAAGGAAAGGGATTCTGTTGTGGAAGGTTAGAAATAGCTTTGTTACTCAATGTGGTTGGTTTCATTAACAGGCAATGGCATTGCTGCTCTGCAGTCTGTCCCCACTGCGATTTACTCCTTCTTGCGCTCCATGAAATCGGACCCAGATATTCCTGATCACTACAACAATCTACAGAGGGTCATCATCTACTGTATTTCGCTGGGAGGAGACACAGATACCATAGCTACCATGGCGGGAGCCATTGCAGGAGCTTATTATGGGGAGGAGCAGGTACCCCCATGCTGGGAGCAGAGCTGCGAAGCTTTCCAAGAGACACAGGTGCTGGCAGATAGCTTGCATGAACTCTACTGCCAACGACTTTGAGCCACAGAAGTGGCGTCTTGTGCCAAGTTAAAGCAAGTGGCAACCTCTACTTCACGGATCAGATCCACAGCGAAAGGATCATCTGTAACCTGGCCACCCCATGGTGGCACTGGCTGTCAGGTGTCACATGGTAGAAGTGAGAGTTGGACCTTGTTTTTCTGTTAACATTTAGCTGGAAACTGATTGCACAGGGAGCTTCGGGTGGCGAACTTTGTTATGCCACCAAAGCCCAGAGGCAAGATCTGTTTTTTTTAAATGAGATTTCTGCTCATTGAGGTCTCTCCTCCTGTCAGTGGCTCATTCTGTGTCTCAACTTGTCCGAGCTTCAAGTGGAGTCTAAATTCAGGAACCAGCTTCTTGTCATCTGCTTCCAGATTGCACAGCCTTCCATTCGCATGTTCTCCATCTAACCTTCAGGAAGAACCTGGGTTGCTCCATATCCATCTTGCAATTCTTTTGTCATCTGGATTGTCTGCATTTACACCTATACCTGACTCCCTAAACTTTCCATTGCCTCATGCAGCAGACTGTGACCTTACAGAATGCTCTGATGACTCTCTCCTCCCAGTGCCGAATCGGTGGTGTGCTTGTACCTTCTGCTCATGTGGTGCATGTGGCAAGGTCACTAGTAAACCAGAGAGAAGAGAATGTAATAAAGCCTAGTGGTACCTAAGGCCCAAATCTTGGTCCCCGTAACATCAGTGACAAAAATCTGATTGACTGGTGGGAACTGGATACAACACTGATTGCTTTCAACCTGTGCACCTGGTTGGGACGGTGTAAAAGTGGACAGAAGAATGGTTTCAGTCGAGAATTCACTTCTGTTAAGGAAGGGCTCCTCCATTAGGAGACTGGACAAATGATAGAACCTCTGTTAGAAAACAGTGTTCTGCCTTGGGCTGTTTAAAAACGTGCCCAGTCAAGTAGGACGGAGAGGAAATGAGATGAGTCTGTATGCAAGCTGATTTGTATAAATAATGCTTGTTTTGAAATGTCTGCAGTAAATACAGAAAACAAATAAATGTTATCCGGTTTGCAGGCAGCTATTGCGTGGAAATGGGTAGAAATCCCTATGTTCCAAAGTAATGTTTTCTCAAAACTAGGAACTGAAAATATTC